GTGTGCGTCGATGCCTGTCGCTCGCTTACTTGGAGGGCTGAGCCAGAGGAGGATGACGTGGCCAGGGAGTTTGAAGGTTTGCTGTGAGTGAGCTGACTGGCCATGCACTCTAGTACGGACAACCAGAGGAGACTTCTGTCTCAAAAAAAAAAAAAAAAAAAAAAAAAAGGAAAAAAAAAAAAGGAAAATAACCCAATGGCAACCGGACGAACTCTGGGGATCTGTTGATTTTAAAATTCCCAAAACGAGGGCGCGGGGCGCGTGGCTCACGCTGTAATTCCTTAGCTCTTGGGAGCCTGTTGTTGGCGGGCGTGTATTGTCTTCGGAGGTCAGGAGTTCGGAAAACAGTCCTGAGCAAGTGCGAACCCGTCAAGAAGTCTAAGGCCCAAAGTTATGTAAATGGAAAGCCGTGGGCATGGTTGGCACATTGCCTGGTAGTCCCAGCTACGTCGGGAGGCTGAGCGAGAAGGATCGGCTCGAGCCCAGGAGTTTGAGTTGCTGTGAGCTAGGCTGAGCACGGCATCCACGTCTACGCCTCCTGGGCGACAAACAAAAGCGAGACTTCTGTCCAAAAAAAAAAAAAAGAACAAAAAAAATAATCGCCAAACAGAAAGACAAATACTACATGATTTCATTTATACGTGGGAACCAACTAAACTTAACGTCTTCAACCAGGAGAAAGAGCAGGGGGCAGGGAATTGGGTTCTGTGCCAGGGGAGCGGGAGCGGGGAAACAGTGAGGTGTTGGGGTCCCAGGGCACAAACTTTCTTCACTTATACAAGATAAATAAGTTCTGGGGTCTGTAAGTGTGCAGGCCAGCGAGGTGGACCTACAGTTAAGGATTACTATCCTGTAGCTGGATCTCCGAAATTTGTTAGGAGAGTAGATTCTTCTTTAGAACTGTAATAATTTCTTTAAGTACTCGGTAGATATCCAGGTCAGTAAATTTGGATTCCAGAATTGTGTCGCAGTTTTCGATTAAGATCCCAGAGGGTACATCTTTTTTTTGTTAAACATTTTATTTAGTTTATTTATTTATTTTTGAGACAGAGTCTCCACTCTGTTGTGGGGCTGGGTGCGTGTGGCGTCAAGCTAGGCTCAACGCAACCCTCCAACTCCCTGGGGCTTCAACGATCCCTGGGCCTGTCCTGCAGTCCTCCCCGGGTAGCTGGGGACTACAGGCACATGCCACGCAAGGTGCCCTGGTTTAATTGGGTTCTATTTTTAGTAGAGACGGGCTTGCTCTTGGCTTTTCAGGGCTTGGTCTTTGGAACTGTCTGGACCCTTACAAGTGGATCCTTCGTACCTTGGCCTCGCAGCAGGCTGGTGATTACAGGTGTGAGCATTGTGCGCGCTGACGCCTGTAAGAAGACTTTTGTAGAATTAATGTAATGAGATATTAATGACAGGTGGCTTCCCACCTTTTCATTAGTTGTTTTTATTCAGTCATTCCTCCCTCAGTTGTGAATTTAAAGTAAACCCAGCCCAGAATCCTGCCACACTCTGCTCTTTGGTTTTTGTTCTACCCTAAATTCTGTCTTATCTGGAATTAAACCAACTCATTAACAAAAAAATAAATAAAGAAAGAAAAGAAAAAGATGGGAACTGAAAATACTGACTGGATTTTGCACCGCAGGATCCACGAGGTGGTTTTACAAGGGCTGTTCATATTTTTAGTTGCATGAATGGATCACGTTGCACCGGAGTGGCTTGAGAAAGTAGTGAAGAATTTGAGATAGCCTATAAAGGCAGCTCCTTTAAAAAAAAGTTATTTCTTCGGAAGTAACTTCAAATTGAAAGAAAATTTACATGAATAAGAGAAATACAAAGAATACTCATTTTATCTTTTACCCAGATTCACAAGTTGGTAACATTTTGTTTCATTTACATTATTTTTTCCACCCCCTGCAGCTACCTGTCTATATCTCTATCCCCTTCTTTCTATCCATCGCTCTCTGTCGCCCTCACAGCCCCTCTCTTGCATATAATTTCAAAGTTTCATTTCACATCAGTCAGACAAGATCAGGGTTAGATCGGGAAGAAACAAAACCAGAAGAGACCACAGCCTCAGGGGCCAGAAAGTTCCAGGAAATTCCAGGTGTCCTGCGAGTGGATTCAGTAGGAGGAAGTCTTAGGGCAATTGTCAAAGTGATGACTTAGAAAGAAACATGGGACCAGCCCCACTGACTTTCTTCTCTCCCCAGTGTGTGTGTCAACCAGATCCAACTGATCAATATCATTAGGTCTTATGGGGTATGAAAGGTCAAGTGGGCTGGGTGCAGTGGCTCACACCTGCAATCCCAGCACTGTGGGGGAGCTGAGGCAGGAGGATCACTTGAAGCCAGGAGTTCAAGACCAGCCTGAGCAAGAGCGAGACTCTGTCTCTACTAAAAATAGAAAAATTAGCCGGGCATGGTGGTGCATGCCTATAGTCCCAGCTACTCAG